CGTTAATGCAGCTTGCCATTCAGAAGGAGCCGGTGTATCCAGCTGGGAGTCGGGGGATGAGGGGAGGATTAACGGGCACTCAGGTGGAGAGAGATGAAGAGAATCAGACGGAGACCCCGCGGATGGTCACACCCTCTCTCCCTCCATCTCTCACGCTCCTTTTTATTTTTGATGAACAAATGCACTCCGCCGTTTTAAGAGTGGAGTGGCGAAAGAAGGAAATGATGGAAGCTTTACTTTAGGGGTGACTTCTCCATCTGTTGATGATTCTAATTTGGATCTGTCCTCCAGAAGACAAATCAAAAGCTTCTCCTGTATAGTGAAGGACCTGAAACATCCCAGATTTTCCTTACAGATCAGTAAAATATGATCAGACAAATTTAAAAAACTCTTGTGCTCTAATGTATCATTGTAAAAAAGTCAACTATATGCAGAGGCATTGCTAAATTAGTCATTCATCATATCAAATGAAGCACGACTGACAAACATCATGTCTTTTAATTTTATTTCTTTCTTTTTTCGGCTGATCCCATGTGCTGGTTGAAACATTTTTTCCTGAAGCCTCCTCATCAGCTGCTCCTCTAAACTGACTTAAATTAATGGCAGGTAATCTGCAGATGCCAGCTGTGCAGCATCACTGCCTTCCTCCAAATGATCAAAGAGTTCTTCCTCTTCTTCCTCGTGGCTACACGGCCTTTCATCGACTTCATCTTTGCAAAGAAGATTAAAAAAAATAGAAATAAAATATGTATGGTGTAGTTAAAATAAGTTTGCCATCCAGCTGAGAACAGTTAACAGACCTTGTTGTCTGAGAACTCACTTCTCTGAAAGTATTGTGGGAGATGCGACAGCAGACTCCTGCAGCAAAGCGAGTCTGTCTGTCTCGAACAAGACTGAACAGAAATGGGAGTAAAAAGATAAAGAAATGAAAAGATGGAGGAGAAAATAGGATGGAAAGAGTTTTGATAGACCCTTTGGTAGTTTAAGTCAATGCAGGTGAATGATGGTGCACATTTTGTTGCTACTGTGTCGTCTCAGCTTTCAGTCCAGTTTTGTTTCAAACAGAGGCTCTTTACTGAG